ATTTGATGTCATTGATGATAGTTAGGAATTTGATTACCCCTATTCTTTAATTAACCATTTGATCGAATGCGTAATATACCTCTTTAAACGCATGCATATTCCCGTTAATTAGTCGCGGGCTCCTCGGCTCCCGCCTTCAATGCAGCTCCCCCTCGCGAGAATTATTCTTGATTATCTAAACTCCGGTAACATCTATTCACATCAAACAAATCGGTGTTATTCGGAACCTGGCTCGCGGAGTTAAGCGAAGGCGTGTAATTTTTATAATTTAGTCTCTCCAGGCTGGTGCCCCCCTGAATCAGTTTAACGCGACATCAATGAACGTCATAGAAACCTAACATGTATATAACTACCTCCTACCCGGGTCGGTAGCTAGGTAGATCTCGACCTCGATCTCTCAAATGCACCACTTCATAATTGTGAATTTTAAGCTGGCCTTCAAGTGAATATCAAACCACAAGGGGGAAATCAAGTTGACGTTCTGAAGACAAGATTGTCTATTCGCACATACATTTATAGCAAATATGACTTATAAACGATCAATCATCATTACAGGCGGTACAGCCAATATCGGCTACTACGCTGCGCTCGAGATAGCAAAAGCACATCCTGAGAACCTAATCGTAATATCATCGCGAACCGACGGTAACCACGCCGCGGAGACTATCAATAAGGCACTGGGCCAGACCAACACTATATATATCCCCCTCGACCTCTCAAACCTATCGAAAGTCCGCGCCTATGCCGAAGACTGGCCGACGGGACACTATCCCCCAATCCAAGCTCTTGTCCTAAACGCCGGCCTTCAGTTTCCCGGTGCGGTTACTAAGACGGTCGACGGTCTCGAATCCAGCTTCGGTATCAACCACGTCGGTCATGCCCTTCTCTTTCACCTCCTCTGCCCCTATCTTGCACCTAAGGCGCGAGTAGTCATCACTTCGAGTGGTACACATGATCCTGATCAAAAGACGGGTGGTATGCCCAAGCCGAAGTACATAACGGCCGAGGAGCTTGCACATCCGACTCCCGAGTCGGCTATGAACCTAGGGCGGCAACGGTATTGCGAAAGTAAACTTGCTAACGTGCTATGGGGGTACGCGCTCGATCGTCACCTGAAGCAAAGCTTGCCGGAGCGAGACATCACGGTAAATTCAATCGACCCAGGTCTCATGCCCGGCACAGGCCTGGCGCGCGACGCTAATGGATTCGAGAAATTCCTCTGGCATCATGTTCTGCCAAGAATCATTCCATTGCTAAGGGTATTGGTAACCCCAAACATCCACCACCCGTGGGAATCCGGGGTCGCACTGGCGCGTCTTGCGATGGGGCCAGATGTGGAAGGCGAGACTGGGAAGTACTTTGAAGGGATTAAACCTATCGAAAGTAGTAAGGATAGCTACGATGAAGCGAAGCAGGAAGATCTTTGGAAGTGGACGGTCAATTATCTTGCGAAGGGGGGTGAGGAACGGGAACGTTTCGAGCAGTTCAAGTAGACACGCCTAAATTGTTTAAGGTATTCTCCAGGTTCTCGACGATCTACATAGTTTTTCTAACCATAAATCATAAGTACCTATTTACCTTGTTAAAGATATATGAACAATATCTTGTTTTCTTTATGCAGCTCCATATCGGTCCATTGCGACATGGCTTATTTGGACTTAGAGAATACCTGCATCGTGCCATCGTCCCCTACACGTCATGGTCTTCATGGAATCTCAATGTTAAACTGTCGCAATCGTCAAAAACTCATGTCCTTCTCAGTATGGCGCTCTCTCATAGAAAGTTTTGAAACAAGAAGCAACCAAGGATGGGGATAATTACACGGTGGTGTCATATGTACTAGTTAGTATAGGCCTGGGATGAGGAACGCGCTTCTTCAGCTGATATATCCAATATATCCATAGCATTTTCACCAATGATGGTAGAGTTGGTACCAACATATGATAGGACAGTGCTCACCTGGTAGTTTTCAGAGCTGTAGATTGAAGAGCTACTGTGCCATTAAGGGCTCGCCCTTGTAAGACTACTACTAAGTAATTTTTCTACAACGAATTTCAACAAACCCATTACTAACATCTATACTAGCCAAGGTAATTAAGTATGTCATGGAATGACATAACCATTCCACACTTTTGAATATACGAATAGCCTGATGTATGGTCAGGTAAATCTCATCGTCTGAATAACCCGTTAGTAAAGCCGTTAGCTTCGGAGCAGGAATGTAGAACCACAGTACTTTGTCGTAAGCTGAAACGAAATACTATAAAATAAAAAGAAGGGAATTTATATTTGGCTGTGATATCGATAATCTCAAATACCCACCCCGTGAGTTATGCGTGTCGGTAGATTGTTCCGACCTAGCTCATTGGGTCCAGCAGCGTAGTCTACGATCACGCAACTTTATCCCCGAGCACGTCAGCTTCGCTTGCAGGGTATCGTCGCAACACCGCGTAATTAGGTTGGAAGGAATACAGAGTAATAGAGTATTAAAAATGGTATTTTGTTACTTGGTTCCGGAGCTCGCAATCGCTAGTCGGCGTTATTTTTTATTCATTGGCTCGTACCGTTTAACCATGAGCTCAGAGGTGTCACGATACTTAAGAGCTGAATATCACTGTGCCAAATCCTTGGCATTGGATGTTCGCTGCATATTTTATTGATCATTCATGTCAAGTCCCATCCCCTAAAAAGCTTATCAAAATGCTTAACAAGTCCTTTGACGCCGCCGTGAAGGCTAGTCAAAGCGATGAGGAGGCTGCCCCTGTCATTATCGACGATTCCACGGTGGCAGATTGGACAGAAGAGGAGGAGCGTGCCGTGAAGCGCAAGTAAGATATTATTCCTCTTTTAGTATATAATCTACATTCACATAATAAAGGTTCTAACTATCCTTTACTTTAGAATCGATTTCATTCTGCTCCCTATCCTAGGCTTGGCGTTCTTCGCCCTGCAGATGGACCGAGGAAATATCTCGAACGCGCTGACAAGCACCATCACAGAAGACCTCGGCGTCAACACCAATCAGATCAACGTTGGGAGCAGTCTTCTATCGGCGGGCATCGTCCTCCTGGAAATTCCCTCTAATATCCTACTACAGAAAGTAGGGCCTCAGAGGTGGCTGTCTTGTCAGATTTTGGCATGGGGGCTGGTGGCTACCTTTCAGAACTTCATCACTAACTATGGCGGTTTTCTTGCTACTCGTCTGTTACTCGGATTGGTGCGTGAGATGGTTTCACAGTTGCTTCATACTCTGCTTCATGATGCTGACGTTCACATACGTAGTGCGAGGCAGGTTTCATCCCCGGCGCACTCTACACGATGTCGACGTGGTATAAGAAGTCTGAGTCCAGTCTACGCATTTCGATCTTCTTTCTCGGGAACCTAGTCGCCACGGCTACCACCTCGCTTATCGGTGCTGGTATCCTTAGTATGGGGAACCGGTATGGAGTGGCTGGTTGGAGGTGGCTATTCATAGGTAAGCCTCGTCATCGCCAAGGTCTCTCTCCTCTTCCCCTAACCACTATGATCTAACGTGGATTCTTTTTTACCTCTCACAGTCGAAGGAAGTATTACACTCGGAGTCGGCATAATCTTCATCCTCTTTCTCCCGCCAAAGGTCGGGAATGGCTCTCCACTCATCAGCCTCGGCCGGTGGTCGTACTTCAACCGGCGAGAATCGTGCATCTTAGTCCGCCGCGTGCTTCTCGATGACCCCGCCAAGACGACAAATCACCTACACCTCTCAGGTAGCGACATTTGGACGACAGTCAAAAACCCTAGGATTCTAGTACACATCGTCATCACGATGACCAGCACGATCCCCGTGACTGGGATCAACACCTACGGTCCTAGTGTCATCAAGAGTCTGGGCTACGGCACCGTGAGGGCGAACGCTATGGCGAGCGTGGGCTCTTTTATCGCCGCGGTGGTGACAGTGTTCCTAGCTTGGATATGCGACGCTACGAAGAGGAGGACGCCGTCGCTTTTGATTGCGGCGGCCTGGAGCATAATTGCGTTTGCGTGCTTGTTGGAATCGTGGAAATGGAGCGCCGAGAGGAAATACGTAGCGGTCGTCTTTTCGATGGCTATGAATTCGACAATCCACATTCTCAATGTCGGTTGGTTGACGGTAAACTGTCAACGTCCGCAAGAACGAAGTGTCGCTATGGCGTAAGCCCCCCTCCCATTCTTCTTGAATGTGCCGTCATGATTTATTCCCAGCTCAATTGCTGACTCCCATACTCAGGATGATTATAATGGGCGCCAACGCTGGAGGCATTGCTGGCAGTCAAGTCTACAGGACGCAAGATGCACCCCTTTATAAGACCGGCATAACAGCCTGCCTAGTGCTTTCTGCCGTAGTGGCTGTAGAAATCATAGGGTTGTCTATTTGGTATTTGATTAGCAATAATAATCTAGATAAGCGAGGTGATGGTCCTGTCGTGGTTGGCAAAACGGAAGAGACGCCCGAGGGACGTAGGGTTGAATTAGTAAAGAAATGGAGATGGACGTGGTAGACTGAACTTTGTTGGAGTTCCTGAGTCTTGGATCTTGATATACTACAATATACACAAGGCAATCATCGTGAACATGGCTAACATGGCGAACCAGAACGATTTAAGGAGTTCCCGTCTATGTAAATATGCAAACTCTTGAACCCATCCTAAGAACAACATATTGCTATTTTGAAGCGAAGGAAGTGAAGTACAAATCTATTGAACTTAGAGCATCGCATCATTCTAGGAAATTCCGATAGCGAGAGGCTTATTCGTCCGCCTAAGAGATCGTGTGGGGTCTCACCCGTCTTGGCAATCATTCTTAGTGTGTCTGTGTCTGTGTGGATCTAGACTTTAAAGACGGAGGCGGTGAATAAGCAAACACCAATCGGCTAATTAGGGCACCATGGAATCCTTCAGAATATAGAAAATACTAAGAGGTCATTACTCACCAGCGAATCATATCAAGTCCACAGCGTGTCTCTGGCTTACTTTCGTAGTAGGGGGCTTGTGGTTTAGTGGTATAATACTCCCTTAGCACGTGACGATGCATGTCGCCGCCATTGTTCACGATGGTTGGTGTTTGTTTGAACCGTTCTAACTTGGGAGTGGTCCGGGGTTCGATTCCCCGCGAGTCCAATTGTAGAAGGTTAGATTCCTTCTATGCCACCTTTTTTTTATTTTTTATTACTATTATTTAATTATTCCTCTTATTTTTTTTTGTTGATGAGACTCGTGCATACAAATATGCACTAAATGGTTTCAATAGTACTCACAACACTTCAATAATGTGTATGATACGTTACAGCCCACCACGTGGAGTTTATGCATTATATGCAATTATTTTCAAACTGTTTCTTTTGTCGTAGTGAAATATTACTACTCTTGAAAATTTGGTCACGTACGGAGACCTATCGGCTAGTTGAACGCATCGTGCTGTTCCCTCTTTCCCCTGATCAAAATCTATCGTAGCATATATAATACTAGGAGCACTTGTTATAAGATTATCAACCATCCAGAAAGATACCTTTAGTCTGTTGAAGCATTCGGGCGTTTCCCCCCTTCGCCTCACGATCATCACCAAGGGGGGATGATTTACTATGTTACGGAGCCACCAAAATGGGCCTCGCTTACATACTGAGGTAGGATATGATGAAGAAATAATGATATATTCAAAGTAGGTCTATTATGATTAGCAAGAAATGCGAATTCGTATTCGGCTCCATGTTTTGAGGATGATGGACAATGATGAACAGACAGACAGAGACGACGATGATCTGGAGAATTTGAAAAAAGTTGTACGAAGTACATACAGATCTGTACATAAAAAACAATATTACATCTGTACTAGCCACATTATTATCATTTACAGATTACACCCTGTGGCTTGTCGAGTTCGTATTCGGGTTCAAGGGGAATAGGTATTCGAAAGCTTCAGCATGGGGAAATGGAAAGTGCGGTCGAAGCTCTGCGGGGGGGGGGGGGGGGGGGGGGGGGGGGGGGGGGGGGGGGGGGGCGGGGGGGGGCGGGGGGGGGGGGGGGGGGGGGGGGGGGGCGGGGGTC